CAAAACCAGATGACAGAAAATGGTTGGAAAAAGATTTGTTATTGCGTTGCACCCTCCGTCCATTTTGAGATAATTCCTTTGGCAGTGCTTTTTGCAATGCCCAGGAATGGTTCTGGTCCTATGAACACAGATTCGGTTCCCCTTTTATCAAGCGCGTCGGCTTTTACGTTGCCCTCCACACCACTGTGCCCCGGAACCCAGATCAAAGTAACTTTGTTCCGAGCACCGAGAAATTCAAGGACATTTATACAGTTCCAAACCAGCGTTGAGTCAACTCGATTGGAGCTCAGGGCCTTAAGGGCCACCTGGCTAGCTGAAAAGATCTTTATAGTCTTTTTGCGGGGAGAAAATTAATCAACTCTAGGCCTCTGGCCGAAAACTCCCGCTCCTACTCCTTTTTCAGTTTTGGAGCCGTCCGTGCACAATGCATAGTCTACCTGGGAGAGGGTTTTTTCCCTAGGGGAACTAGCGAGTCCGAGACCATGCCGAGGATGGGGTGGTTATTAATTTCACTCATCAGCCCCGTCTTGTCCCATCGCAGTTCTTCGTAGCATTGACTACCCACCTTCAGGAGTCTGTAGGAGATCATCCTGGCATCCCTTTCCAGCAGAATGTTGAGAGGGTCCAGCATGGTCTCCATGGCTCCGTAGGTGTGGTTTACATTGCTCCAGTTATGGCTAGGCACGCAAGCCGCTGTATTGTAGCCAGCTTTGGCCGTCCGTTGAAATCCCTTGTCCCACCAGACGACAGAGCCGTGCGTAACCATGAGTTTTACCATTGTTTGGTAAATCCAGTAGATCAGTTGAGGACTGATCCCCCATGCTTTGCCGTATATCCTTCTAAGGGTCCAGAGGGATAATCTGGCTTTGTTAATGGTTTTATCCAATTCGGGTTTCCAGGTGACTTTCTTATCTAGGGTGATTCCTAGATATTTCACCTTCTCCGCAAAAGGAATGGTTTCCCCAGTCAAGGTAGGTTGTCGAAGCTTGTCGAGCTTTCTTCTCTTGGTAAAGGGGACAATAACAGTTTTGCGGGGTTAACAGACATCTGCTCCCTCTCGCACCATCTGTTGATCGTATTAAGGGCTTGTTGAAAGATGTTGGAGATCACCTCTTCGAACTTTCCCCTAATTATGATAACCAGATCGTCCGCATAGCATTGGAAATCCACCCCCTGCCGGGAGAGATCGTCTAGCAGGTTATCCACCAGAATGGTCCATAGTAGGGGTGATAGTACGCCGCCTTGTGGACATCCTTTGGCAGGCCTAAAAGTGACAGTCTCTCCATGCAGTGATGAAGTGATGTTCCGGTTTGCCAGCATGCTTTTGATCCAATTAGAAGTTAGTTTGTCGATTCCTCTTCTTTCAATAGAAGCGAACAAAGACTGTGCAAGGGCATTGTTGAACGCGCCTTCTATATCTAGGAAGGCAACTAGCGCAATCTCCCCGTGATTTAGGGAATAGCCGATTTTACCTACATGATCTGTCGATTTGCCTGCTTGGTAGGCATATTTGGAGGAGTTTAACGGTCTTGCCCAAAGGCCTCCTTCTTTAATATGCCTATCTAGAATCCTCTTTAGTGTTTTTAGAAGAAAGGATGTTAGGCAGATTGGACGATAAGAGTTTGGTAGGGAGGTATCTACTTTGAATGATACTAATGTACTGAATCATTTGACCTAAAAGTTATACCTGAAAAGAAATGTAATGTTGACTATTGACGAAGACAACCAAGGAAATAAAGAAAAAGGAAAAAAGAAAAACAAAAAATCAGCCAAGGCAAAACAATTGCGATTCCACAACTTCAATACAGGAACAAAACGAAGAGAAGGCCAATAAAAAAAAGCGAGGAGATGAAGGAAAGGAGATTAATGTAAAATCTCTACCAAAGAAAAGAAGCTTGGATTCGGTGTAATATGTGTGGAAATTGGGCCCACGAAGCTTGTTTAAATGCAGAAGAAGCAGACTCATTTATCTGTGACTTTTGTTCAGAAACATAACGTTTATTTAGATAAAAATCAGTTTAATTCAAAAGTGTGATTATTTAGTTTCAATATTATTATGTCTCTCCGATAGGTGTTTACGAGTTGTTAAGACCATGACCCTTATTTAAATAGTTGAAATAAAGTTGTTTTGAAAATTCCAGTTTTTTCAGTATAATTAAATGATGTATAAAACCGGGTATTTGCGGATATTTTTTAAAATGCTTCTAGACTCTGAATAAGAAGATGTGTGGTAAACGTTTTCCATAGGTTTTTCGTAAGGCAACATTATATGGGGCTCAGATCATGTATATTTGAGAATTTATTGTTTTATTAAAAACAAAATATCTGTGATCAAACATTAGCGTCCCGATTTTTCCCGACTTTCTCCCCTATATAGGGTACTTTTTGAGATATTTAAAATTTTGTTTGAATATTTTATTCAGTATGAAAAACATATGGATGAAAAGTATGTTGAATTACGTCCTCTTATGTACTGTCTCATAACCTAAAAATAAATAAAGTCATCCAAAGCTTTCGTGCCGACACTCGGTATACAATGTTTCCGATAGTTATAATGGTGTAATTGAAAATAATAGTCATTTGCGAACACTAAATATTGTCTTTTAAACGATATACATTTTTGAGACGATATATGAAAAATCTCAAAACCCACAAGTTTGTACGTACATGGCAACTGATTTCCCGCTATAATTGGTGAAATGACTTATATAAACTATTGTATTTAGATAAATGCTAAATAATAGATAAACTCAACCTGAAATAATTTTTATGAATATAAATTTAATATGGGCGGGTTGTACAAAGAATGCTGAAAACTCAGTTTAGCTAACAGGAGTTTAATTTTTAACTGGTTATAATCAACGTACGAATGTCATTTTTAAAACTATGTTTAACAATAATCAATTATTATGCAATGAGGTTCACTGTTTAAACTAAGATTACATTTTAACTGCCTATTGTACAACCCGATCATCGTTCATATTATGTACAATGACCCGGTGGATTGTATAAAGAATGGTTAAAACCAGGGTTAATTATTATTCAAATGCGTATTGTACAACTGGTTAGTGTTAACTGGCCTACTGTTAAGACTCATTTTGCATATCGATAACCGCTTAGTTAAATTTTACCTTAGGTTAGTTGAGGAGCTTTGGAACAAAACCGAATAAATACACTATAAACGATTTTTGGGAAAACACGATTTTCCAATTGAACAAAAGTACTTTTTTTCGATTGTTTTGTTAAAACAATACTATTGGAGACGTCATTAATAAAACATCCTTTTCATATGATTTTTGTTAAAAATATGACAAAAAAATTGATTTATTCAGTTTTACTCAAATCAAAATTCCAAACTATGCGCACTAATATAAGAGGAAAAACAAATCAAAATAAAGAAATATCTCTTACAAACTACAGTGAATGCCGGTGTGTTGTGTACACCACTTTACTAGTGGATTTATTCGGTTTTGCATAAAAACATCAATTTCGACCCTGAATTTTACAAAGATTTATTCGGTTTTGCTTTGACAGGTAGTCTATAAAGATGTAATTTAACAAAGTAAGTTGAAATCCGCCGCTTACTTAATTTTCATAAAAAGTGGATTTATTCAGTTTTGCTCCAAAGCTCCTCAGTTAACCAATCAGTAAAGTGATTTTGATACAACCCGCCCTTAAAAGGCACATAATAGGAGAATATATTAATAATATGTATTTAGATACAATTCAAGAGATATACTTTTTCTAATTAAAAATTTCAATTTTCTTTGTTATCATCAAACCGGTAATAGTTACTAAATACTCGTAGGTGAAAATAATCCTTTAAAAAATAAATAAAATAATTATAAACAGATATTTATACACATTACAGTTCTTATTTCTAAATTACCGTTTGACCGCTAAAAAGTTCAAAGTTAGGTATTTACTAACATGCTTTGTATAGGCATAGTAGGCGGCGGGAACGAAGTTGTGAATTTCTACCTATATCAGCACTATAGTACGTATACAGTACTTTTTGAAAACTTCTTTTTTAACATTTTCAAAATTACGTAAGTTTTTTCTTTCTCGCGTGGCCACCGTACCCACCAGACCTAAATGCTTGTGATTTATTTTGTTTGCTTTTCTTACTTTTGAGTTTTATTTAAAACATTAATTGAAATTATTTTAATACTTCTATACACGGTTTAAAAAGAAATATCAACTTAGAAAATACCCTGTCATTATTGGCGAATTTTATCGTCGTTAGCCCGCCAAAATTTCCGTATTTTAATCCACCAGTTATTTACGCATTTAGTTGATATTTTAGCCCACATTACTTCCCAAAATTTATATTGTGTCGCTGAATTATATTTTTGGAAAAACTTAAAGTGGTAAACATGGACTTACGCCATCTTTGATTTTTCAGACATAAAAAACAATTAGTAAAGCTAATTTTGATTTTAAAATGTCTAGGAAGTAAAGCAAAATATAGAATATGGAAATTACACCAGCTATAATTATTGTGTATCTTTTGGCTGACAATGTTATTTTGAGTAAATAAATATTTTGAAATTGACCGAAGACATACATTGCTATAATTAGCCACTTATTGCTCAATCAACTGTGTTATACAAATAAGGAGTTTAAAAAGAAATATCAACTTAAAAAAACACTCTATATATTCTATCATCTCGGCCGCCATTGTGTATCTCTTGGCTGACAACATTGTTTTAAGTTAATAAATATTTCGAAATAGGCCGAAGACATACATTTGCTAAAATTAGCTACTTATCTTAGTCAATTGTGTTATACAAATAAGCAATGTTTTTGAATGTTCAATTCTACTAAATCTCTCAAAAGGTCAGTCTAAATAAATCTGTGCCCATTCCAAAGACAAGCGCCAATTCAGTTGAAGCATCTCTAATATCCTGTTGTGTCAAAAGAGCAGCATCCAAGTAGTTATAATACAATTAATTATACTATAGAAGACAATAGAAAACGAAAACTAGAAACTGACTTAC